ATTTTTTTAAAAAAACCTTAGCGGTACTAAATCGTGTGTGTAAATTGAAATCTAATTAATTTAGACCCATAACCTCAGTAGGCCTGGACAATTTTTCAAAATTGTGTAAGGCTTAGGCATTTTTTAGGAAAAGTCAATAAAACCACTTTTTTTAATATATTATTTGTGCTGATTACGAATTTCTAAAAAAAATTAAAGTTGCCTATTCAACATTCGATGGCAATTATTGGTCGAACCAGAAAACCTACTTGGTTGCATACTTGTTGACAAAATGGCTGCAATAATCCTAATGATTGACACTGACACAACATATGTTTACTCGTTTTCTGTCCGACTGCTGTAGTAACCATGGTTGAGCCATGCTTGGTAAGTGCCACCACGGTTTAACATGGTCAATCATAGTCATAAATTTGAACTAGGATAACTATTGTCATTCACGATGTCTAGACTAACCTTGATTGATCTTGAAAATATACGTTTTTGTGTTTAGTGTTGTCTACTGGCTTGTTTGATGATATAGAGTGTGTTGGGTCTTTGAATTGGTAAATCACAGATTTATGATATGCAAATTGATATAGTATTATCTGTATTTACAATGGAGAATATGTAGCGTGGTATTTTGTTCTGTGTATTGTTGATATAGTATTTGTACTCTGAAGATGTAAACAAGTTTGGTTATGAAATATTCATGTAACGAAACATTCTGAGGGACACACTGCTAGACGTCCGTAAAGAAATTGTATTGTATTGATTATAAACAAAGCACAACTGGCTGGGTACATGATAGGCTTTCGGAAATAACAAAACATTGTCTGCAAAATTCTCTAGAAAAGAGAAGGAAGAGGATTCACAAATGTCAGCGCCGCCCAGTATCAGGTTCTGGTCTATCAATGTCGGCCATTTTGAGTTTTGACGCCATTTTGTTCACAACCATGGTACCAATTTGTTTTTCTTCAAGACGGCTTTTGCTGGTTATTTTGATGCTGATATTTAACTAGGATGGTCGAATTGTGCTGCACGTATTATTTGTTATTCACGTGATTCTTGTAATAACACGTTATAATACATGTTGGGATCGTGTTTGATTTAGTAGTAAATCACGTTCAGACTTTGGTTTAACATCACATATATATTATATCAGAGTAAAATAAATACATTCAACCAGACTTGAAAAATATTGTGTGTTTATATCACAACATAATATAGCCAAGCATATAAATCGTATTGAAATAGTCTCTGTGCGCATACATGTCTTCAGTATCTCGTTTCCATGATAAAGACGGCGATGGGAACATTCCATGTGATATACCTTACTCGACGTCAGGACGCGATGATGCATAGTTTTACACTGTACACTGTCACGTTGACTGCACTTTGCCACTAAGATGTCCTCGTCGACCCTTTCTTTTCACCGACATGATTAATATTTGATGGTATAATTTAGTGACGCAGGAAATCGACATCGAGGACGAAACACGACAAATCCCAAGGAAATTGACACAATTAAAGGGAAACGTTTGCATCAATAATACACGTGCGAATGACCTAGAGGTCGTCTAGTAGTAATCATATGAATGCTTCTACCAGCTGTGTTTTCGAACTTTTCGATTTTCTTGCTCATGGTTATCATTTTCTGCGATCATCTCTCTCAGCAAGAACGCAATACGCCAGTGACAGCTTAATTGTTTTATATGTACATCTATAGTTACAGGAATGTAATGACAAATGAGCATCTTTACACTCAAAGATGTTTGTGTCGAATTGATGATTATTTTATTATTGGTTCATACGTTCACGATGCCGAAAAAATAAATTGGGATCACTGGGCAATTTTTTTTTAGAAAACATAATTATTAAATATCGTGGAAGATGGTCAGAATTTGATTTATTGCTCTGGTTGCTATGGTAAAATTATTTCTTAATATTTCGAAATTTTACATATATCATTATTGATACGAATCATAATATTGTTAAAACACGTAACATAAATTGATATTTAATTTATTCAGTTTCCAGTGTGAGTACATTATATGCAACACTAAGTTCTCCCCCACAATGCATTGCAAGTGTGTGCAGTGATATGCTCGGTAGTGGGAATTTTAATTCGGAGCGAATCACCTTAACTTATGCCACATACATCGACAATCGAACGCGATATTTATTCGTGTCAAAACAAATGAAGTATATGTGTTTTGGATCACTATGTATAAACTTAGAAAACAAAATAGTGTTCAATGAGACAATGTGTATTGCTATGTGATTACTTGTACGCACTTCTTATTCAATTGTATGTATTCTCAGTAGTTCTATATTTAACTGGATACATAACATTTCACGTTACTCTGCTGAAATAGTTACGTTTTAAATTTACAATAAATCTATATGTAATATTGAACTAAAATGTTTTTAAACATTTTTTAAGGTATGAATATCAAATGAATTTTATTAGTTTCCACATGTTGTACATTCAATACCAGCTATCGAACTTCTTTCAGTGGTCCGCGATATTAGCTCCATTATGATATCCTATTTAAATGACAATATAATACTGAATGTATTGTATGAACAAGACGAGTGTTTTCCACAAAACGCTATTTCCCTAATCTCACACTGATGAATGAATGTTATGACCTAGAAGTTGCTTGCAATGTATCACAACTAGTACGTGTTTGTTTCTTGTACAAACTTCATTCATAATCGATGACGTCATTCATAATCGATGACGTCTACTGGAAAACATGTTTATATATGACAAAGAAACGGGCATTCATAATCCGCTGCTATTTTAAACATATATTTTAAAATGTCAAAACGCCTTAGTCAAACGGAGTTAGGAACTTTGGGAAATGTAAGTTGAGAAGTGCTATTACGCTCTTTATATGCAAATTTAAACTTGATTACACCAGAAAACAATGAAATTGATTAGTTTTAAGGTAAGTCAAATAATGACACGAAAAATGTGTAATGTGATCTAAATAAGGAGTGTAAATATTGTAGTAATTACGTTACTTGCTGTCACGTGCCAAGTTGGAGACGAGGCGCGCATTGCTGAGAAAGTAACTACCATTACTATACTGCGCAGTGCAGTGCAGCATGTGTATTGAGACAACACACTTATTAGGAAAGCGAACACCGAATAAACGACCGGGTAAATACAATGTCAACTCAAGAACCGACGCTCGCCGGCGTAGGGCACATATCGCCCTAGCTTTGGATCACAGCACGGCTTCTCCTCGACCAAGGGGCACCCCAACACCCCAACCCCCAAAAGATGTTTAATAACCGAGTTTATTACTAGTACATGTGTGTGACCATGCATGTCACATAAGAAAGAACATTTGTTTGACGTGGCACATTTGTTTAAAACAAAAAAACATCACGCTGACAACGACCGGCGGTGCGTACGTTTCAGATGTTATGTAAAAATGGCAGTGCGTTTGCTTACGTTGTTATGCGTACCATGGAACTCAGATAGAACGCAGGCGGTGGAGACGACAACCGCTATTCTGTTCATCTATAATAATTTTACAAATATATCCCAAGACAGTCATACTCACTTAAGGTAATGCGATCCAAGCGTGCTATTTTATACGGATTATAACACCTATCCATCATTTTGGTTAATAATTAAAAGCATTGTCAGTGGGACGATAGATAACGCCTAAAAATCCACGTGAGAGTGAAAAGCTTTCGATGATGGTATCTACTATTGCAGCCATCCAATCTCAATGTATGTACATTATTCGCTTTAAAATGCATGGTAGAGTTTCGAGGGATAGATGTTTATCGTCGCCCTCGTCATCATCGTTGTCGTTGACGACACCTTATATTTAGCGCCCCAGTCGCCATGCAACCCGCGTTTTATTATTCGCATGGGTTCCATATAAAACACGACACTGCGCGACCAAAATAACTACAAGAATTGTGTTCACTGAATTTGAAATTTTCACACTATGTAAGTGTTTTCTAATGAAAATGTTTTGTTTTCAACAATGATGCCAGAAACGTTAAATACTTGTCAATGAGTAGTCTTAATTACGAGGTTATTACTTTATTTGCACGATACTATAACTGAACAAAACACGCTATCAACAATTCCTGACGTCCCTTTGTAGATAAACCAAGCAAAATCTTAAGTGTTATTTAACTTTGAGCTTTTCTCACCAACTACTAAACACGAGTTGGGAGAATGGCTAATGTACATAATCATACACCCAGTGCATGTTTTACACATTTTACAGACATTCAATAATAAAGCGTTCACCACTCCCTCATACACAAACCAAATGCTGTATGGTAAAAAATCATTAATAGTAAATTCAATAGAAATTCTGAGATCACATCTCGCAGCGAAATGATACTTTTCATTATTTATTTATGTAAAGCCTTGCAAATTATGCAGCGCATTCAAAAAAATAATTTAATAGTATATATAAATAATATTTGGTTTACTTGTAGTAAAGCTCTGAAATTCTAACAGCATGAAGCCGAGACTATTTACATATAAAAAACAAAGAGCAAAAACATCATATTTTAGGACTGCGAGTGTCCATGCATCTGCATCTATACTTTACATACACTAGGCATAACCATAAATTTCGACCGCGTACCACGCATGAGAATTATATTTTTTTGAAAATGTAGCTGTAATAATTGTCACTGAATGTAACTTAGACGTTACTTGACATTTGCAGTGAAGTGAACTATGCCCAATTGATATACTTGTATTCGCGTTATTTTACTGTGATAATATATGCAACACAATAAACATTACCTAACGAAATATAAGGGAAGTATAGAAGGTTTGTTGTATAACTTGTCAGTATACATAACATGTATTTCGAATATATAAATATTTATATAGATTATTAATAAGCATAAAATATTTGCGAATTAGAACTGCACAGGTCGAGCATGTAAAATATAAAGTATTTAAACATATAATGTGAAATATTAGTAGACTTTGACTACAGAATGTTTTACAGTGTATATATACATAGTGATATCAGTCACAAATTATACATAATATAAATGCATTGAGTGGTATGCATTTTGTTTCTCTCATGTTTATACACCCTCTAAACTGTTCAAAAAATCAGGTAAGCAACCTTGAAATAAAAAAACAAAAACAAAAAAAAACACGTAATTAGGGGTAAATATTTTTTTCTAGCTTGTGTAAATTAACTAGATGGAGTATTATCAGTTTTTCCCTGCAATGGTCGTTCCCATTGGTATTTTCTATTAACGGCACCCAAAACAACATGTTTAGGATGTTAATACAAGTACTCAATGTACTCAAGGCATAATACATTTCCTTCTACAGAACGTAAAATTCGAACCCCAAGGTTGGGTACCAACTTTTATTCTAATGCCCTTCCCGGGGATATATACAACCTAATCTAGTGTAAACCGAAACACCTGTCCCAAACAAACCCGTATACAAATACACCTCAGTAACCTTTTCAATCATTTTGCTGTTCGAACATTTCTGTGAAAGAACCGACTTTTGTAGTCTATTTAGTGTTCAGTTTTCACTTTATATCTTGTTATTATTTGATTTACTCCCAAATAGTTGCAGTTCACCACCGTGAAGTTAGAAGACTCATACGACTGCCAGGCAGACAGTATACAAGTCTACACACGCGATTCATTTGGCGAAGCAGGTGATACGCTGGTGTCCACGCTATGCGGTTTCTACGATTCGTCAGTACCGTCAATAACTCTCAACGGTTCAGATGTGTTCATACGCTTCAATTCTGACGCAATAGGAAGCGCTAATGGATTCCATGCAATGTATAATATATTTAATGCCGTGGAATTAGAGAACAAACAAAGAAAGACTTATTCAAGTGAGTATCACGAGGCCACTTTTAACTTGATAAACTATATATTCGTCACGCTGCTGAATAGAATGATTCAACGATGACCAATTCATCACAAATACTCATTAAAATTCTGGACAAACACATACGTAATATCCTGTTCATATATGGTCATTCAATTATTTTAGATTCGCCGTCATCATCTACGCATACTAATCATCAACCGTGAGGTATATAGCTAAAGCGTGCGCACATGTAGTGCATATTTAATAATCCATAGCTAGTATACTGATTATTAAATAATAGTTACTTAAACAAATATCCCTCCCCCGAGATACGTGCTGTTGAATAGGGACATCCGGGGTATTATACGGTTTAATCTGATCTTCCTTACGTGCCCACAAACCACACCGTTAAGATGATCCATCCAATATATATATAATATCAACGATCGCTTCCTCGAAACCTCTGCTTATAATCTTCGTATTAGACTATTCAATAATTCATGTCAAAGGGACATGGCTACATAACACTTCCATGTCTTGCTCTAATATTACTTATTTATTTTCAGAAATTTGGGCTATCAACTTTATTACTCGATTTAACGGTTCCTTGCATGAATAATGTCATCCATATCAATAAAACACTCAACGGCGACGCCATCTTGTCCAGGAGTGTTGTCTCACGACTTAATTTAATAATTTCTCCATTGTCGTAATTTTGGTCTTCAAATTACCAACTTTCTAATTATTGGCGTTCATCCTCCCGTTGCACACTGAACGTAAACATTGCTAGCATAATTCATTTCGTTACAATTTTGAATTCAGATGGTTTTATTATCATTATTTATTTTCAAGTTTATTTCGAATTTTATGAGTTTTGTGCCTTTGGTATGATTTGTTTTTATCTGGTTATATGATATGATTTGCTTTATTTGCATCAAAATTTAACCTTTGTTTTCAACGTTATAATGGTTGTTTTAAAAACAGTTAAACAGTAATTAAATAGTATGTAGGGAAATAATCAGATTTTGAAAGTTGCCATATTCTAGACAATGTATCACTGACTTTTTAGCTTGTATATTCATTTTACCAATGGTATATGCCAATTCTGATGCATAGCTGTTAATTATGTATATTAGCTCATATTTGTGTACAATTATTCAAGTAATTTTCACTTTTCGAGTCCGGATATTGAACTGCTTAAACACCCGCATAACAAAATGATTATTAAATGCAAACAACTATTAAGTGTAAAACAACAGAAGAGCCAATGTTAGTTGATTATTAAATTGATTTATCAAAATTATGCCAGACGCTATTCTTTAGAGGTAAGAGGATTGTACAGCTCAAATAATGATATACTATTTTTATGGTACTAACTCGAAATAATTGGGCCCAGAGTGGATTCCCGTGTATCTCGGTTAAATCTGAGACACAGTCTTTGTTCATTAAGGGACGCTGAAAGATGTCTTTATTAAGTTTGCAAATGCCTGGAACCAATAATTTATAAAGAAGTGGCCGATAACCGACGTAATTGTAAAGAAATGATCGATTAATGATATAATAATCAGACGGCAGAGTGAATGTTAATCAAAGTCATACCACTGTTCTCGTCATATCAATTGATAACAGAATTGTGATTCAACATTTTGTATTCTCATTGTTTACCTTAATAACTTTTTATTAACTTCGCTAAGGAGGTTGTGTTTTTAGAAACGTTGGTTTATTGTTTGGTTTGTCTGTAAGGAAGATAATCACAAAACTTATAGATGGTTTCTCATCATAACATTTATTTGGGTTGTCCTTGATAAAAACACGAGACCACAACATTTCTGGATAACAATTTCGGAATGAGTTTTTTTATTCGTAATTCAAAAACGTAAGGATGGATTCTAATGGCATTTTATATAGGGACTGCCATTGGTGCAATAATCATTTAAATATTGGTGGAGATGTAGATCCAGTTGCCATGGAAACAGCGATTTTGGGAATAATTGTTTTTATTAATAACTCAAACAATTATAAACTGGTTGTCACGGAAACAACTTCCAAACAACAAAAAATGTTGTTCTTCAATCAAAATCCAAACGATTAGATTTTATGAGAGATCTGGATCTGGAGTTTAATGGATTCTTAACCATAGCCTAGTATGGTTGACTCCTTGGGTGAACAAACCTATTCATGACTCAATTTGGTCTTTCGTTAGAAATTAGAAGCTTATGTAAGAATAATAAACGTATACAATAGGGCAGAGGTATTAGTGAAGATATGTAATTAACATCTATAATGAAGGTTTGCGCTCTCGGAGTGCCTTCTAGTTTCTAAAAGCATTCACATTTACTTGGAAACTACTCTTTCTCGTTTTTAACTATCTCGCTTTCAATAGTTGCTTTGTTTTCAAAAATACTCCTTTACTAAAAACGGTTTTTTGTTTACTGAAAACACACACGGACTGTTTTGTAGAACAAGGTTGTTTTGACACGATCCAAATGAAGAGAACATTTTTCTGTTCACTTATAAAGAATGAGATATTTGTTCAAACAACAAGAACTGGATTCGCTTTGCAGATAAAAATGGTGGGATACATGGTAATACCCTGTATAGGCTAAGCAGTTGATTTCAAATACATATACATTTACAGTTCAAATTGACCTACTGTATATATCCAAACGATTACGTTTCAAACGGACGTACATTTGTCGTATTTATCGATATTTATTTCAGATTGACATGCATCCGTTTAGGGGAGAAACACTTAATGAGTTGAATTTAGTAATTTGCCGAAAATGGGATTGAAATTTGAGTTTCAATAACCGCGCTGCTTCTTCAAATTAACCGTTACATCTCGGTAGCATGTATTTTTTATAAACTGTCGACCAAGGCTCTCAATAGCCGGCTTATCCTACTTACTGAGCTCTTCTGTTTAACATCCCCTCTCCTCCTGGTCGATCAACCTTTTCGGCCAAGTCTTTGCCTCATTATCCTTCTTTATAGAAGGCATTCGTCATCGTATCCCTTCGCGCACTGTTACCAGACCTCTGCCCATAAAGTGGTCGTTAATTGCCGGGAAAAGTACGGTAACTACCAGTAAACATGTTCCGCGCACGTCAACATGTGTCATTATATGAATGTTGAATAGTATGCAATATTATAATAGCACTTGTCGGAGTCTCTCATAAAACATAGCGCACTACAATTACAGTATTGTCCTGGCAGTGAGCTATAATAGTTTTCGTTACACACAAAGCGGTCGATTCATTTTTACCCAGGGAGTACTAGTATCCTGAATTGATAACCTAATTAAATCAGCAGGTGTGGACATATGCTTCTAATGGTTATGGATACATTAATGCAATATAAGTAAACATCAATAATGTACACGTATAGAATATAATAACATGGATAATGTTTAAAATCACAGTATCTGTTTATAAGACAGACTTTTAAATCGCTTATTTATGAGAAAAATATCTAACTTGAAGCGTTTATTTATCATAATTCTTTAATCAAATGCTGTATTCAATCACAACTACTGTGTCGCAACGTGAACCCTGCACGTATGTTGATTCAGTTACTGATATTCCTCGCGGCATTCCCGTTACTAAAACGTCGTCACATTATAACGGCCAATATTACACATTTATTTGTGTTTTCATCTTGTCTTACAGTATGCGACGACACCATGGCAATGGCACTCAGTGGCGCCATATTATCACATCCGGGATACCCGAGTAAATTATACCTACCTGACGTAGTTTGTCGGCTCGTTATCGCTCCGGGTGCCGGACGTTTCACAGGTGTCTACGTCATCGTCTATGACGTCAATTTAAAAGTGTTTCCAGGTGAGGCAATGATATATTAGTGCTGAGTAAAGCTATTATAATCCCCTAAGGCTGATATAACGTACCATTCGGCCTATTTAAGGCACATGCCCTGTATACAAAGTACAAATCGATAAAATCATTTTTGCTAAGAACACTGGTATACAACCGTTCTAGGGTGAGGTCTAATGTACAATTTATAGGATCTAATATATTAATAATTTGATTTGTACAAATGGGGTAATTTGACCTCATTGAAACTAGTGCTATGATTAAGACATTACAGAAGAGATATGACTAATTTGTCACATGTTCATATATAGTTACATGACCTCATTAATATGCGTGACTGTAATATCTCAGTTATTGTTGCAATCTATATTGCTATATTGTGGTCAACAACGTTTTTTCTTTAGGGTTGAATCCTACTCCTAATTTTTGCGAAAGTTGGTCTTAAATCTCATGTCAATGTTCATTGGTTTAGTGTGTGTTACAGTGACACGTTTTGAAAAACTTGTGTTGATATTTTTTAAAAATCGCTGTTTTTAGAACAATTCCATAGAGCACAATGTTAGAGAAAAATTAAATTTTGTCACTTTTTAAAGTCACCAGCCTACAATTCAAGATATGACATATTATCTCATATTAGCCATAGAAACCTATAGTAAAAGTGGGTATTTGAAATCCAGAGTAGACTTCTACCTTGATATGACTTTTTGCAACTTGATGAAAAAAACAACAAGACACAAAGCAATCTTGTAAACTTCATCAGGATAAACATAGCACAGACTTCTTCTTTTAGCATAGCACTGGGTCACAATTCACAGCGTTTCTTACCTTTAGCTGCCGTGTCTGTCTATGCAGACAGTGGAGTCGCATATAGCTGCCGTGTCTGTCTATGGAGACAGTGGAGTCGCATATAGCTGCCGTGTCTGTCTATGCAGACAGTGGAGTCGCATATAGCTGCCGTGTCTGTCTATGCAGACAGTGGAGTCGCATATAACTGCTGTGTCTGTCTATGGAGACAGTGGAGTCGCATATAGCTGCCGTGTCTGTCCATGCAGACAGTGGAGTCGCATATAGCTGCCGTGTTTGTCTATGCAGACAGTGGAGTACATATAGCTGCCGTGTCTGTCTATGGAGACAGTGGAGTCCATATAGCTGCCCTGTCTGTCTATGCAGACAGTGGAGTCGCATATAGCCGCCGTGTCTGTCTATGCAGACAGTGGAGTCGCATATAGCTGCCGTGTCTGTCTATGCAGACAGTGGAGTCCATATAGCTGCCCTGTCTGTCTATGCAGACAGTGGAGTCGCATATAGCCGCCGTGTCTGTCTATGCAGACAGTGGAGTCGCATATAGCTGCCGTGTCTGTCTATGGAGACAGTGGAGTCGCATATAGCTGCCGTGTCTGTCTATGGAGACAGTGGAGTCCATATAGCTGCCCTGTCTGTCTATGCAGACAGTGGAGTCGCATATAGCCGCCGTGTCTGTCTATGCAGACAGTGGAGTCGCATTCAGTCATTCGGAAACAGGACGTGTTTTAGGGCGCTTGACTTGTGTCAATGAATCTGATAAGAGATATATCAAATATATCAGATGACCATGTGTTGTTATGTGACCTAATTAATATGCATAACTATAATGTATTAAGCACCGATGCAAATAAGGCCATGCGACCAGTGCTATAACGAAGGCATTGGTCGAGAGATATGACTAATGCATTGTTTGACTATAGATGGTAATATGACTTTGATAATATGCATAACTTTCATATCTTGAGTATAGTTGCAGATTGGGACATGCAACTAGTACTATAATTGTGGTGTCAGACAAGATATAGGATCGAAAAATCAAGTCATCATATACATTTATATATTTATAATTGTTATACCATATCTGATAGAAACACCCTGATAACTGCTTGCAGCTACAATATATAGAAGCACTTTGTAACTAGAGGGCGCAATTTAGAAATAAAAGTTGTATTAGATTCATCGGAACAACTAATATAAGGTGTAACGTTAGCGTCGATTGCTGTCACGTGATACATTCCAGAAATGTACAACGTACTTAATAGCGTATATCTTTATAGGTCACGTGTGTTCTTCGCCATCCGAACGTATAGCAGTGTCTTCCGTCGCAGCCAGTCTTTTTGAGAGAGTGATTTGTCAGAATGAAGACCCAAGAGCGCATGTCAGCACAGATTCGTCGATTTCATTGACATTCCATACGACGTCACATGACAATTACGATTATCGGGGATTTAAGATTATTTTCACACAGTATTATCCGTCGCAAGGTAATCATGCCAAGTTGATAACATATTAATATTACATATAGTTTGAAAGATTTCTCAATCACCCGAGCGTGGTATAAACTGTAAGATATAAATGACGAACGACTACACAAACAAACAAACAAACAAACAAACGACGACCACCGCTCTTTAAGTGTTGTGGTTGTAAGGTTAATAGTGATGCTTGCGGCCACAAAGCAGTCGATTTATTCACAATGGTAGCAAAAACATTTTCCATTGTGTAGTCCATAGGCCAATAATGTACGCGTCTGAGTCCATAGTAAAAGTGAACAGTGTCTAATGTCACGTGATTATGCTTTGTTTAGTGACAGATCAGAACACCTCACCATGCCATGTCGACGACTTCTATTGCAAAGGAATGTACCGTTGTATCCCAGGATTCCTGGCGTGTGACGGCGTTGACCACTGTGGTAACTATGACGATGAAAAAGACTGCTTGCCAGGTACGTGTAACGTCATCCAAGTAAACACGTAAATATGCAAAATATAATCAGTATACATCGACAAACACGCTTTCAATTGATGGGTGAAATGAATAAAATGACCCTAAATCTGACGGCAGTGTGGACAAAGTGCTCGATAGAGCAATTTAAAAGGGAGGGCGTCTCACATGATCGCCACCACTGAGTCCCAAATCGACTACTCGACAGACTGAAACTCATAATTCATTATAACACACCGGGAAAGAGACATTGAAATATTAAACTCAAAGTAAGGCACGATTTGAAATTCTCGATTGGTTTAGTATTCCGTGAGACTCACACTGCATGACCCATGACCCATGTATCCTACGCGGATTGAGCAAATGTGTATACAAGGTACTATTCATAATTTGTTCCAACAGGTTTTAAGATTCCATTGCCAGAGGTGCTATGCAATCCGGATGAACATTACTGCGGTGAATACGTCGGAGATTCTGCTAGATGTATACATAAAAATAAAATATGTGACGGAAAAGTGCATTGTATCAATGGCACAGATGAGTTTTCCTGTTCAGCCCAATCCAATTCCAGTAAGTAACAGCGCCGCCTGGGGTGACTTCATAGTAGACATAATTAAAACGACTGTAGAGGGCGATATAAACTCACAAACCGACTTCTTGTTTCGAGAAGTGATGTACTCACAAAAAATAAACCGATGTACTGCCTATATAGAAGGATTGTGAGCCTATGACTTAAAATGTGTTGTAATTTCCCGTCATCTTGAGAACCATGACCCAGATACAATCAAAGCACCTATTGGGTGATAAATCACGTTATAAGATCTCGTCTTAATGGATGGTATTGTCTAGTTTCTCATCTCGGTATGTCGTATCCTTACAGAATCAGGAGGATTGTCAGCGAGGGCCATGTTGGGTGTTGTCATCGGCTTACTACAAGTGGTCATCGTTGCTGCCGTTGTGACTCGCTGGATGCATGGCCGGAGGTTGAAGAAGAGTCGGAATAAGGTATTACGTAACACCGGTTGTACGGAGGAAGAGTTAGAAAGACTGTAGTTTGTATGGCGCCATCTCTCCGACGAGTTGTAGATGAGATTGTACAGTATGCCGCTGTAATGCTTCCAAATATCAGTACGCAGCCATTTAAATATGGCGTCTGTAGCTAAATACTTCCGATGGGTGCAAACGTTCTAAAAACAATAAACTTGCATACAGTTTCTTGTTTGTTTCTGGTGGTTTTCAAAATTAAAATAGTACGTGAATTTGTAAATGGCGAAAGTCGGGTTTCTGCGAAAACAGAATTACCGCGATGACATTTAGTTTCGTGGTAACCAGCCTAACACATCAAAAAAAAAAAAAAAAAAAAAAAAAGAGTCTCTGTATGTAAGTCTACAAAACAATTGAAAGTGCCTACGTGTCCATAGTACGATGCGCTGTAAATTAAAAGTCATAAAATCGGACATGGGATGTTTATTTCTCCACTTTGCTGTCCTATCTAGCCCGAGAATTATTGACAGGACTTGTGTATTCAGTTGACAGGAATACACTGATTGATGTACTGTTTTTATATGTATAATAATGTTATCGAAATTGTTCAATGATTTTGCGTATAAAATAAAAAAAATATATAATTATAAGTTTGTTTGTTTTAAATAATTAAAAACACGTATTTCTTTACCGGAAATATGACCCACGAACAGTGAAATTGTATTGACGTAGTAGCAGCGTTCCGCATGAATATAACATATAGACGAAGTGCGCATGCGTGGCTCTCATACTAAGTTGGTGTAGCAGTAAATGTGCTCTCTGAGTTTGCTCGTCGTGTAGAAACTTACACGTCCAGTGACGATCTAGTGTTCGAATTCATGTTTATGTATTTTTTAGTCTTTGTCAGCATGTATGCATCATATTCCCGGTAGTGCGTACATTTTTTTGGAATATCCATAATTTACAGAGTATTTTGAGAAAAAATATCAAATTGGAAATGAGTTTTGTTGAACTTTGAAACAAAATTAAGGTTCATATCATATAACAATATACGACCCTATACGCCCATATCGCATGGAACACGTAACTAATTGCATAAAAACAGTGCAAACAACATGTGCAGATAAAGTGACAATCCTTCCCCCGAACTTTTACCCGGAACTGTTTCCAAGTTATGTATTTCCATTCGAGATAGGACCAAACCACTACAAGTTCCAAGCCGAATACAAATTTGCATTTAGATAAACAATGCAAATTACGTATAAGCGAAGGTCTGATACCACATAATAGGCACTCTCATTGTACCCGGCCTACAAACTAAGTTCACTATGTTTATTTGCCCCTCCATGGTATGATATACCATAATTTGTTGGTGTGCTCGAAAACAGTTATTGCGGTGACCTTCAAATCCAAGATGGCGTCCAATATGGCGACCAAGCCTGTACAACCTAATATAGCTGGTTACATTTGTGATAGAATATTTGTGAAAGTGGCTAAATATATGTTTGTGAACGAAAAAGTTCACGAACTAACATTCCATGATGATAAAAGTATTGTTTATAAAAGTATTTGCTTATCAAACTGTAAGATATTCACCAACATTTGATGCAAACCTGATGATCCATTTGTTTGTACCATGGCACTTATTCGGCAGCTGAAAGGAAATAGCAATTCCACTTTTGGTGACTTGGCAGGAACTGTGCCGAGGTTGATAATGAGACAGGTTCCCACGAGATGTACTGCATATGTACATTGGGTGACTGGCACATATCCTCAAATATCAATGAAGAATGCTGAACGAGAAATTCGAACTCAATCAGCACACAGTCCTCCAAAAGACTGATCAGTAGAAGGCAGCGTTGTCATAGTAATTAGCAATGCACACCAAAAAGTGTACAAACAGTTTAAAAAGGCCCTTCGAGATTTAAAGAGTCATTGGCACATTTTGGCTTATTGTAACAGAAGAAACGAAACGGGGATAATACACATAATGAAAATTAAACTGTAATCAGTGGAAATGGGTTTTATACGTACAATATTCACAAAATATTTGCCAAAAGTAACAATATTTATTACGTAAATGGTTCGTTTCGCTAATTACAGATAATTAAAATAAGTAATCGACGAAACAAGGGTCTTACACGAACAATATTTACAACTGTCGGTCGAAACTTAACCTGTATATTCGCTTTTCAGTCGTGTATACTAGTATAACGACATAAAACATTTGCCGAAAATAACACAATTTATCAGTAAATGGTTCATTTTACTGATAACAGATAATCAAAAACAAGGGTCTTACATGTACAATATTTACTGTCGGTCGAAACTTTATCATCTTTCAGTCGTGTCGTATCGTAACTAGATTAAACATTTGCCGAAAATATCGGGACTTTAATAAGTAAGTTTCGTTTCACTAATTACGGATAATCAGAAATCTGTAATCAGCAAAACAAGGGTTCTCCACGTATATTATTTACAACTGTTGGCCGAAACATGACCAGTACATTCACCTTCCAGTAGTGTATACAACGGCATTAAACAATTGTCAAACAATAAAGGAGATGATTATTTAAATTAACAGTAATATTGCAGCCAGCGATGCAACATGCAAGGCTCAGAGGCGCACCAAAAGGCGTATTAATTTGCATATAACCATCAGTGTGGCGGGCTCTCTGGTTCAACCAAGGTCAAAAGATGGGGCTGCCCTCTATTACGGACTTTCCTTCCGGTGTTTTTTTGACAATTGTTCCATGCCGCTGTATACACTGGACTACTAAACCCAACAGTTTACATAATAACCCACGTGTAGAACATTTGTTTCGCCGATTAGAGATTTCCGGATATCTGTAATTAGCGAAACGAATGATTTACTGAATAAAATATTTTTATTTTCGGCAAATGTTTTATGTCCTTATATACACTACTGAAAGGGAAATATACAGGTCAACTTTCGTCCGACAGTTTGTACGTGTAAAGACCCTTGTTTCGCTGATTACAGATTTCCGATTATCATATACAAGTAGTTATTGTTCAGATCGTAATATTAAAACGTGTGTGTTACTTTGATATGTTAGTGTGTGTATGCCACACACAATTATTATAAATATTCGTAACCAGTAATGATAGTTTTAATTGCCCATTGTATACTTTATATTGTGCATTTCAAAATAAAAGTCACTTAAACTTTCAATTGCAAATTGTTTTAGTTATCTGGCAAATAAATTTAGCAGTTTATAAAAATAAATATAATACCCTATGTATAGGGTCCAAAAACAACTATGAAAAACATAGCCCGGCATATAGTTATGAACTGCTCATTGCGCAAAATGTTTGTACACAATTTGGTATATATTTGTCAATTTGAGGTGAGCAATATTATACATGCATCATTAAAACAGATCCACTATCTAATAATATACAAAACAACTGTTTGTCCTTGTGGTTTGATGTGGTTGTTTGTCTAGTACACTTCTTTTGACATTTTTTGCTGACATGACTGGGACATCAGGGCGGGTTCGACATGCCCGCAGCAGATGCTTACCCTTCACGTGCACCTGGTCTGACCTCCTTATGGGGGGTTTATGATGTTCCGATTCAATCGATTTTGTCAGTATATTTTTCTTGACTATTGGTTGTTGAAGAATGGCTAATTGGTACTTCTATAATTACTAAAGTCGTCAGGTCCACGAGACGAACAATTCACTAAAATGCGAGTGTGGACTCAGTTAGCATGGATATATTGCTATCAACTATTGATATCAACTTGGAATGCAAATATGTGGATTATTCAGTCAATAAAACATACATATAGACATTTAAACTAACATTCTAGCATAAGTATTTAACCAGATATGTGTACATTTACCATTCGGTAACCATATTGGACGCCATCTTGAATTTGAAGGTGACCGCAATGATTTTTTTGAGCACACCAAAAAAATATTGTTTCTCATAAGACATAGAAGCAAAATATTATAATGAACAGTTTGTAGGGTGGGTACAATGTGACCTGAGATCCAGGCAAACTATGGGAATCAGACCTTCGCTTAGTATACTTGGAAAACAACTCTATTTAGATTAATAAGGCAAACGAACTCTACTGTGAAACGGTGTCTGACTGGGGAATATTAAACACAGTTGTCTGCTTTATTGCACTTGTGCGAGTAATTTTAAACGACATGTGACTTTCAATGATTTCACTGAACAACCTGAAAATAGTTCATATTAGAAATCAATATATAAATCAACATACAAACTCCCTTGCTTAACAATAGCACGTTCGTTCATCGTTCATTTATTTACGGTTCGGACACAGGAATGGCACCACCGTGTTTTGCGACTCGTACACGTCATACAATAGCATATACATTTGACTTATTTAGTTCAGCAAATTGACGTATCTCATAAATTAGAAAATATAGTTTACATTAAAGGGAGGTAGTCTTCGCGCCACGCATGCGCGAGATAGATGGGTCTCATATAAACAAGAAGGGCGACTTTGACTGTTGCGCACTGGCAGATCAACAAGTACAAACTGAGACGTGTCCACGCTTTAATTAGGTAATGTTTAGGTGATTGGAACTTTAAGGTATCGAATGAGGTATTCAGTGCAAGTTGCGCCCAGGTCAAACCTCATACTTATGATTTCAATTTGAAGAGCGCATTGGATTGTGGTAAAATCAAAGTTTATCAACACAAATGTCGCACATGCGCAGCGCGACGACCACCGCGCTTTAATAATGGGCTGATATGAATTTTGGATGTTTTCAAACAGGGGGTCAAATTTCAATTACTATAATAAATAAATATCACCGAAGTACTTAACTGTAAGTAGGAAGATTACATCATCAGTTGCTTGAAGGTAATGTGGAATTTAAAAGTGCGATACATGGCACGGGGAGTTATCATTCAGCATGGAATATAAAACGAGCATTTGTGGGTGTTTGTGAATTGTACATAAATCAGTCAGTTCTTAAATACAAACAAATTCTTGCGCCAGGCGCCCGATCTTTAGCCAGCAAAAAAAACAATAACTCAATTGGCAAACCCCTACCGAATTTCTGGGTCCGCCAGTGATGCTAGTCATACAAACGGAAATGGTGATATTGGAAATTCGAGTACTGTATCTTTCATTGCCTAATATTGAAAATTTATGACAATATATTACAATTTGTTGACTAGACCTAATATTACCAAATGGATGCACTTGAAACGACACACAACTAATAGAATATTTTGGATATAGAGGAATAATGTTCACCCCATTATGGCCTACCAACCTGACCGACTGAGCCTTCACCCCTATTTATACAACAACTATGGGTGTTAGAGGTTATA